TTATGTCCTCCATTAGGTCGGTAATGGCCAAAGATGTCGATCGGTTCGACCTAAAACCATATTGGCAATCTGAGAGGATTTTATGTCTATCAATAAATGTGTCTAATCTGTTATTAAAGAGTTTTTCCAAGATTTTTGAAAATTGTGACAACAGAGAAACCGGTCTATAATTTGTGAAGTTGTGCTTATCACCAGATTTATACAGTGGAATAACCTTTGCTATTTTCATATTATTGGGGAACTGCCCAAGTCGAAACGACATGTTAAAAATATGGGTTAATGGTTTGCATATCCCCTCAATTACCCATTTAACAGTTGTCATAGTGATACCATCACTATCACTGGATGATTTATTACCACATTTGTTCACTATCTCTATAATTTCCTTTTCAACTATGGGCTTCAAAAACATAGAACTCATGTTCCTTTCAATTGTATTGTTATTTATAGTGACGGATGTATCATCTGTACAAATGCTTCTTGCTAAACCAGGACCAACATTCACAAAAAACCTATTAAACTTATCTACTACATCCTCCAATCTATTGACCGGTGTATCATTGTCCATGAAATATTGAGGGTAGTTACTCATGCTGGTACTGTTTCTAATCAATTTATTTAATATAGTCCAAGTACCTCTCATGTTATTTTTATTATCCTCTAATACTTTAGCATTATATTGTTTCTTACATCTCCTCAATATCGCAATTAATTTGTTCTTATATAACATATTTTTCTTCCGCCTTTTTCCATTAGCTTACAGGAGCACCAGGCTCAGACAAAAACTGACAACAACCCATCTGACACAATATGACAAGCACTTTGTCAGGCTCTTGAAGCAGTGTCTTCATAGTGATGTGTGGTCAGTCAGCCTGTTAATCTTCATATCTAAACTTCCAAATTGAGAATGAATAAGTCAAGCTGTTCGCATTGTCCCTGCTTTTAATTTTCAGCTTTGATTTTAAAACAGCCATTTCTGAGCTTCCTATTTTTGAGTATGTCTAGTTGCCATTTGTCATTTAGTGGATTATAAATGCCAGAGATCTTGTTACAGTAGGTGCTAATCAACTGTAACATGGTGACCGGTAAAATCCTAGAAATTCACTGAAATGCTATTTTTAAAAATGTCCATTTATGTATAATTTACTAATGCCAAGTATTGCTGCTCTCATATTGAAGTTGTGCATTTTAGTTGTATTGGTTCTTAGTTGTAAAGACTTAAAACAGTCTTAATATCAAACAACCTGTATAAAACAGCAATTATTGGAGGCCTGTTATTGTTATATATGACAACCAGAAGTCAAAGGATTTGTAGCTCTGGCATAAGTATGTAATTCAATTTAGGTTTGACACAATTCACTGAAATGTCCTTGTTTTTATATTTTATTTCAGTAGGTCTATTTTTTGTAGTTAATTAAAGATGCTACAGATTTAAAATATAGTTGAATATAGATTTAAAAAAATAAATCTTGTGGCAATGCTTCTTCACGTTTATATTTTTTGCATATAAGAGTACAAAATATGGTAATTGTTGATGACTTGGCTTCTCAGCTGTGAAAATATATTATCTAAGCCAGACATCAGCTTGTCACTTGTTTCTGTCTTCCCCTTCTGTTCCTGCAGCGGCCCTGGGTATCGTCCTGACCAGTGGTTGCGCCACATCCAGACACTGCCAGCAACAAGAGCTGCCAGGAGTAAGAATCCACTGTTGTGACTCAGATCTATGTAACAGTGCCACCTCCTGGCATCCAAGCACCTTCCACTATGTCTGTGCACTGTTGAGCTTCTTGCTGTTGATGATGTGGTTGTGATATGAAATCACTTTGGAGACACACCACTGGACTAATGGAAGAAACATTTTATATTAGCAACTCTCATAATTTCTTTTAGCTACTCATATTTAGGGCTGAATGAGAGTTTTACTCAGTATGGTGTTACTGGTGAGCACCTTGAAATGGTGGCTTTTGTGACATTGTTAGCTTGGCCTTACAGTCAAAGCAATGGCAGAATAACCCTGGGAATATGTTTGATCAAAGTAATGATGAAGCAGGTTGCAGTCATCAGTACGTTTACTGTGCACATTCACGTACTCAAATGTAGCTTGAAGTAACTGACTGTATATAAATTTATACAGTCAGTGCTTGAGGTATATGGGCAATTATAAAACATCTACAATGAAAGAAATATTTTGAGTAATAAAGTATGTCTTTTCATAAAAAGCTTTCAGGAAAGACACCTCATATGAGCAATGCAAAAACACAGACTTCAGTTACACAAATGTTTAGACCCTCTTGTATCCATAATACACAAATCCCATTTCTCTGTTAACCAGTTTAATATCTGTCTTGAGATGATATTGTTGTGTGTGCAGTATGTTCTCACAGACTATTTACTTTGCAAGATAAAAGGTTTTGTTTTATTAGTTTGCTTTCCAAATCTCCAAGCTAAACTTGGAAAAGCACACTGTATATGGTTCTTCTTTGTACGATTGTAAGAAATATTGTACCGTGAAAGCATGTAATGTTGTGAAAATTTCACATTTTTCAAAAAAAAAAAAAAAGGTTTTGAATACCATATACCACACACAATAAGACAAATGTAGAATTGCTTGTGATTCACATAATTGCATGTGAACAGAGTAAACTGTATTAAACAGTACACCAGCTTACAGGAAAAGTGCTTTTATGTACATTTGAAAATATGTAAAACTCACATGGTAATAGCTGAATTTTACACTAAATGGAATAATACAGAATTATAATTGTCTGTTAGGCTATAACATGGTCATATAAGGTAAGTCAATGATCACTAGCACATTAGGTTAATTTATTATGCTCATTTTACCACAAGGATTTCACATAAGGCCTTGACTGGTTTAGTACTATGTAGGCCTATTTACATACACTTTGTTTTGTATAGCCTATCACAAACCTGTCTTATACAAAAACATTGTGTATTTGCCTTTACCAATCTGTATAAAATGTACAATCTGTGTAAGATTGCCAGATGCAAAACAGTTCTGTTTTACACAGCAGTATTTTAAGCAAACTGATTCTATCCAGCTCCAGTGTTCAATAAAACACGTGATAAAAATGATCCAGTTCTCTCTGAAAACAAAGTGTTAGGTAGGCCTAAACTCACCGTTCAGAATGAGTTTAATATAGTTTTTCTAAGCTAGTTTACGGCACATAATCAATATTAAGTGGTTTAAGAGTACAGTGTATACACACCTGTGTAGTGTTTGCTTTCCACCAAATGATCTTCACACCGCAAATCGCCGCATATGATGCTCTTTGTGCCACAAGCCCATTGTATACAGCGGAGGAAACCCTGTGCCAGGAGCAGCCATCTTGGATAGACAGATCATACTTGAGCCAGGATAACCTGCATACCTCCTCTGAACAGCTCCAGATCACAAGGCTCAAAAGACTTAGTTTCTGGTAAGGAGACAAAATGAGCAATACTCGAACATACTCTGTCACACATATATAGTGTCTAATAAACATAGAGAGACCAATATTTAAATTATGAAACAAAGTGAACAGTTAGGCTAGTCCGTGTTTGCAAGAATTGGCTAATTGAAAAGCTAACAGATGGCTAATACTAGGTTGTGTCTGTCGCTGGTTTCCAAGTATAATAAATATTACCATTCAGTTGTCAGATAATATTAACTTAGCCGAAAAAGGTCTTACTCGGCGATGACTAAATATGAGTTGACGAGCTAATTAGGCCATGTATAAACAGCAATCCAACCTTCGCAGCTAGCTGAAAAACTAGCCAAGGCTATCGCTAGGTGCTATTTATGTGCTGTAACGTATTTGTGACTTTTGTAAAATTGTGCTAATTAGTTTCCCGACTTAGTTATACGGGCTTAATGACATTTACTCGATTGCTCGCGTGCTGTTAAGCTAACGTGTTGTGATTTAACGTTATATGATTTGTTGGAAAAATTCACCCATTTATGTCAGCAAGCAGGTAACTAGCTAACGCAAACTTAGCTGTCCAAAAAGCTAATTTAGGGCCATGATATTTATCAGACACGACTATCTAGCTAACCAGCCAAATAACTGTCAGATTGTACTTCTTATGCTTAATCATTTTGCTAGCTTTTTATGTGCAAACTAACAACAGATAACTAACCAAACCGACCTTGAATTGTACCGGTTGTTAAGCTATGCTAGCCGTCTTTTCGAGGAGCAGGCATAATGTTACTTTGACAAATTAAAGAGGTTTGTTTATTTTTTGTGCTTGCTGGCTGTGCCTTTTATTTCAGGTTTCTTGTATGGAGGTGATGATAATACCGTTTGTATTGTAACTTATCGTTTGACATAAGGTCCGATGCTAAATCCTTAGCGAACAGCGTGCTAGCCTCTTTTTTTAGCTTTACTTTTCTAAAAAACAGATGTATGTAATTTAAGAATTGTAAACGGGCTACAGACTAGACCTTTTATGCGTAAATGTGCTGCAAATTTGGATAGATCTGTCTTTATCCACCATAAAATGCTGCATCATTTCTGTTTCTTGTGCAGGTGCTCTCTGTATGTTTACAGGCGTGATCGTAAACATAACATTGCTTTTATTAGTTTTGATTATGTTATAAATATGCGTCATCATAAATTCAAAATTTATGCATTGTAACAGTGTGCTTCGATTTGCCTGTAAACAGTTGTGATGCTCTCATTGTTTTTAGGGCTTGCAAGGAGTCACATGATTTGCATAGTGGGCCTGGACATCATGGAGGCACTGTGACTCTATATGTGTCATGATTTACTGATAGCCCAGCTCTGATTTACATATAAGTCATGCATCTTTGACTCTGTGAGGAACTGGCTGTTGAGAGGGAGAAGGGCTTTGATGGTGTTTCTCTGGAGAGTGATTCAGTTAGTTAAAGGAGAAGTGCTGAGGCTGGATTCTGGTCGCACCGACTTCACTTGCCTTTTCCTTAATGGACACTCATGATGTTTATTTCTATATAATGAGCACAAAAGAGGTTGCGTATCACAACTAAATCACATTTTGTGACTGGCTGGACTTCTGTAACATCTTACCTTCAAGAGCTCTGAACACTGTCACACTGAGAATGATGCCATACAAGTGTCATGTGACAGGAGGCAGTCTAGAAAAAAGATCTTTAAACATTATGCTAGCATTTTAGTATAGTACTGTTATAATTGTGTATGACTTGTCATGATCTCTGTTTCACTTTGAAACCTTGGGCACCAGATCAGTCTGTGGGACCTTCATGCATTTCATGCACTTCTTTCAGGCATATCAGTCAGACTTAATGTTGATAAGACAGAATTAATGCACTGACTGATAGGAAAAATTTAATTATGCTACTAGTCAGCACAAGTATTTTTTTGTGTAAACAAGCTTGTGAGTAGCAACCATGTTCGTGTGTTTTGGCTTCTCCAATCATACGTCACTGTCTCACAGTTTCATGAAATGGCACGCCCTTAACAATGCAGTCTCTTGAATTGTTTTAACACAGGGTGCATGTCTGTGTGAATCAAGCCTTAGAGTTTTCATTAAAGCAAAGCTGTAGTTCCCTAGATTCAAATTATCCTCAGATATGTAGCCTTGCAGGCCCTCTTAATTTCCTGTCTAATAAATTAGTCTCCTTTATTTCACCCAGTTATTCTGTTTCTTTATGCTATTTAAAATCTGCCCCTTTTGTAAGTCACTTTTCCCTTCATCCCTGTTTCTGAAGTCCTTATCTTTTTACTTGCATGCTCTGTTTTTGTTGCATCTCTGTAGCTCCTCTTATCACATCACATCCACATTTCTTCTGGTTGTGTCATCATGAATCTGGCCAATCAAACATAGTCACTGAACAGCAAATGCAGACGTATTACACCAGCACTGGGCTCTGATGTGACACACTGATTTCAGTTTCCAGGAACTGCTTTAACTGCAACACAGTTCACTGAATTGGTCGGGTCAGAGAAAAACACTGGTTTAAGGCAGACTGTCCTTGTCAGGGACATAGAAACCATGAGGGTGCTGAATTGTCATGCCCCTGCCCTGATTGTTATGGCTGAATTATTTACTTCAGATATGCTGTGCTGCAGCACCATTGTGATATCTAATTATAAAGCAGCCTTTAATGGTCACAGCTACAATATAACCTTGATGTTTGGAGATGGCAATGCAAAAATTTGTTTATGTTGAAACTGAACATGAGAAGAACTGCCTGACCAAATTTGAGCAAGTAAAAAAATTTTAAAAAAGCATCTCCTGCTGGCTGTGTGTTTGTGTGAAGGTTTTTTTTTATATTTACTAGTAGTGATGATATGGCGTGGTAAGTCTGAAGGCTTTTCCCTGCATGCATGCCTTGTCTATGTGCTGTGAGAGAAGTGTGTACAATGAGGCATCACTAGGTGTCAGGGCCTTTTAAAATCTCTGAGCCTATGATGCTGATTCTTGTGTACGTGTAACTGCTACGCTTTTTACGTGTAAAATTAGTCAGCATTACTGTCATGAGAAGAGAGCAGAGTGATACGGTTGCTGCTGTAGAGTTGTGCTTGACTGTTTACTGTGGGGCTGTTTTCATCCCCATCTGTTGTTATCTATTACTTCACATGTATACATGCCTGCCTAAGGTTATTTTAGGTGAAGAATAACAAACCGTGATTGCTGTGTAATTAATATTCAGTAAGACACACATTCTGGGCAAAATGGTAATAATATCATAGCATGCCGGTAAGTGCCAGTCACAGTTTTAAACCTCAGAGATGTCAGTGTTTATAATCAGGCAGAGCTTTGTTTTTGTTGAATATTGTATTCAGAGGCTTTATGAACTATGCACAATATGCAGCACACTTGATTTAATTTTCCCTTAGGCCAAGTGAACATTGGTATAGCATAGGTGGAGTGAGGTGCAGACTTGGAAACATTTTATTACTCAGATGTGAAGCAAGGTAGCTTTAGCTCCAGTGATAACACAAACTGCGGCACCACATCACCTGAGCCATTTTGTACTAGGTTGAGATGTGGATAAATGCCATTTATAAATTGAGCAATGTTGGGTATATAGTATACTAAAATGCGTGCCCTAGTGTATTACATCTTGATTAATGTAGTAGCTGTAAAAGAGTTGATCATCCTTAAATTTAGAAGTGAAATCTCAGCATACATTTTGTCTCTAAAAACAGATGTTTCATCACTTTTGTTGTATTAATATAAGTATTGTAAAGTTATATGCATGGGTAGGGAATCGGTGATCATTTAAGAGTAATGGTTAAAAAAAAACAACAACTATTAAAGTGGTAAATTCTGACCCTAATCATTATTAGTAGCTTGTACACTGGTAGAACAAATCTGTGCGAATGTTTACGTGGTCGGGATGCTTATATTTTATATAGGATGTAAAACATCTTGTCATTGATCACCAAAATGTTAAAAGCACATGGCTATGCAAGTTTTTTTTTTTTTTTTTTGTTGCTTTTATTTATGTAAGCAGAAATGTGAAGTGTGTAGGAAGTGCAGTCACAGCACCTCTTGGTTTCCAACCAGAAGATTATCAATATGCAGTTTAATGTTTGGCTATTTGTATAGACTTAACTGTTGCATCACAGGAATTAAAAATTAATGATCTTGAGAAACAGGCATACATGATATTTATGGTTTTAATCATAGTACTACTACCGTATTTATAGTTTGGAAATTTATAATTGCATAACATTTGCTAATCACCTGTTGTCATGGTTACTCATGGTGTAACTTGGACTGATTTACACAATGTGTAGCTTGTGCTAATTCACATTCGTATGGAGTATGGTCTTTTTATTTCTGTAATATAGCGAGCATGGGCTTCTCTGTACTTGAATTATTATGGCTCTGATAGGATTAATGCTTTCTACAACACTGAGCCTTACATGACCACTTGAAATGAAAGTGTATATAATAGATCTTGTGTTTTTGTTTGCAACCACACATGCTGAAATTAGATTTTTTTTGTGTGTGTGTATTTCCTGGTATCCTATAGTCTATATTTGATAAACAATTGTGTCTAAAATCTGAGTAGCGCAAATGTATATTTTTATGTGATTATTTTATTCATTTGGAGAAATAACTTAAATCAATTAAATCAAAATAAGTCCTCATGTTGATGCTAGTAATGCAGAGTGAATGTGGCTGGTGTTACAGGACACAGTAGTTATTGATTTTAAGTTAAAAGAATGAACTTTTATCTTAAAAAAAACATTGAAATCTGTATTAAATTATTGCTGTTATTTGTTAGTTGGAAAGGAGGAACTTGTCCTTATTCACAGTTTAACATGTCTAAACTTCCTCCTCTTCTCTCTTTCAGAGCCACAATGGCCACTGCACCGTACAACTACTCCTACATTTTCAAATACATCATTATCGGTAAGACACCAGTATGGAAGCTCTGCGTTAGGGTTACGCATACACTGCTGATGTGTAATGAATTTTAAATGCCTTTCAGCTATTAGAATTTATGTTCTGCTTTTGCTGGCAAGTTTCCTAATGTGCGGCCTCCAGGAATCAAATTGCTGCTTATATTTTTGCGTACATTTACAGACAGCCATGAGTAAACACACACCCACTGCTTGGGACTATTTATCCCCCTTTTCTGTCAGACTCCCTGCCTCAGGCTCATAGGTGTGTGTGTGTGAGTGAATCTATAAGAGCAGACTGGAGAGAGAGTATATTGTTGACATGTTTCTCTCTCTTCACAGGGGACATGGGAGTAGGGAAGTCATGTTTGCTTCACCAGTTCACAGAAAAGAAATGTAAGTGCTGCCCTGATTTTGACTGATTTTCATCTGTGTGTGTCCCTCCATGCATGTGAGGTTGCCAGGTTCAACTGGAGTGTCTAACGCCATTTAGATTTCTTTATATGCCAGCGGAAGTCAGTGGCATAGAAGTCGAGTGTGCGTTCAACAGTGAGAGGCTCTTCTTCTGTGTGTGAGTCAGCTGCAGCATCCCATTACCATTCAGCTCTGTTTTGTTTAGTGCTACTATTAACAGGCCAGATGCAGTGTTCCTCATTCAGTCATTTACGATCGCATCCTGCGTGCACACAGGGCCAATTTAGAAAAGGTTTTCAGTGTCAGATGTAAAAACATTTGCTGCGTTCTGGGTGTTGATACTTTGAATTTGGACAACTGTGAGTAAAATGACTGTAAAGACTGCGATTAATTATTGATGCACCTGCTGCTGGCTTATGTTGAGGTGTATGAGAGAGACTACACAGTCCACAAAATGTACATTACAACATTATTGTAAACTAAAGCTAGGCATGAGTTTAAACAACCTGATGAAGAATAAAATTTCAATACACTACCTTTTTCTTAATTTAAAACTTAGCATTACAATTCAGTTTGATTTGTATAGCGCCAAATCACACAAATAATCTCAAGGCACTTTACATATTAAGATATAGAGCTTATCATATTATCGAGACAAACCCAACAAATACCCTTTGAGCAAGAACTTGGTGACACTGAGGAGGGGAAAAACTGCCTTTAACAAAAGAAACCTCTAACTGAACCAGACTCTTGGAGGGCTACCATCTGCCTCAAGTGGTTGTGGATAGAGGAGAGAGAAAAGATGAGCATCAGGGCACAACAAATAAACACTGGACATGAGCATCAGGGCGCAACAAATAAACACTGGACATGTTAATGTGGCTGGTGACTTCTCATCAGAAATGTACAGCTCTGGAGCCAGGGATACCTGCAGAATGGTACAGGGAGAGAAGAGACAAAGTTAATGACATGCAGTGGCGCCATATAAATACATGGAGTATGAGACTTGGAATCATTGCAAATGATGATCAGAGAAATGTATGTAGCAACAAAAACATGTTGTGAAAACGTGTGAATATTGAAAGTGTGCAAAGAACAACAGTAAAATGAATTGACAGTAGCCTCACTTTCTCTCCCCAGTCATGGCAGACTGCCCCCATACGATCGGTGTGGAGTTTGGTACAAGGATAATTGAGGTGAGTGGCCAGAAGATCAAGCTGCAGATTTGGGACACAGCGGGACAAGAGCGCTTCAGGGCCGTCACCCGCTCGTACTATCGCGGAGCTGCAGGGGCACTCATGGTCTACGACATCACCAGGTACAGGATGCTTGTTATGTGTTAATGTTTGTGGCAAATAAACTGTTGCTCTATTTATAGTAAGAGGAAGTGAAATCATCTGATAACTGCAGTCCCTGGTCACAGACTCCTCCTGAACAAACATAAACAGTTCAGCCAAGCAAACAGTTTCACTAGTGGAATGTCTGTCTACACCACACCCAACCCCAGTAAAAGCCCTTAACTGGAAAAACTAATGAATTGTTTACTGTGGCTGCCCACAGCTCCTGCTGATATAATGGACAAAAATCTAAGACAAAGATGAGTGTTCCTTGTGTCATGCATGGTTGCCATGAGCACATAGCTGATAATTCCTTATTCATATGCTGGACTTAAATGGGTGGGACTTAAATACTGTAACTGGGTTTGATAGTTGTATGGTTAGCTGGAGTTCAGCATTCGTACATGTAGCATATGGCCCATTCCAGTATAGAGGGTATAGTGTAGTGTGTCAGTGCAGTGAAACCAGTTTGGTAGAACTTGGTCATACTGAGTTCGACCAGTTGTCTTCATGTTGTTGTCACAGTAACCATTCTCCCCCATTGATGTCATGCAGGAGAAGCACATACAACCACCTCAGCAGTTGGCTGACCGATGCTCGAAACCTCACCAACCCCAATACTGTAAGTACTCAGCATCATTTTGTTATTCTGTCTGTATAGTTTCTTTTCCTCATGCTTCATCCCTTTGTTCAAACGCACCCTTGTTGTTGCTTCCACTGCACCGTATTCTTGCTTTTCTTTTGTCTTGAGCCTGTTTGTAGCCACAGAGCCCTGTACATTTAAAACAAAATGGATTTCTTGGTAAATATAATTAACTCTGAATCATACTGCTCTCATTTACCGAGCTCTATGTTCCTCCATAAAGTCAGGCTCTGTTACAGCACCACTTCCATTTTAAGTGAAGTTTTTTTTGCCTGTTTTGTTTTGTTTTGTTGTTTTAAACAGAAAAGAATCAACCTATTTTCATGCAGTTGTATGTGTTTCTTATGGAACCGTTTTTTTTTTTTCTCATTTTGATGGATAAATGGTACCACAAGGTAAACTTTACTGTGGTATTAGTGTATTCTTGTGTTATTGTTTCTGTCACAGTCTGCTCTTTACAGTTTTAAAGTAGTATTTATGTAAATGGTTTCTTCACTGAGAAAAAGCACCAGCAGTCTTTTAGCCTGAGCTGTTCTCTCATTGCTGCTTTTGCTGAAATATCTTGTAGCTGCCATGCGGTGGTGCTCTTGTGGTCCAGTCACGACTTGAGCCAAGTGGTCGGCGTTTGCAAATGATTTTATTTTCTGCAGTTTTTTTGCTTGGGATGGGAAACATAATGAACATAATGTTATGTAAGACTCTTTCTGTAAGCTAGAAATTCAAGTTAAGTCTATTGTTAATATTTCTGCCTGTTACTCTTTTGTGTGCATTGGAAATAGAGCCATATCCCATGAACCTCACTGTCACTGTGGACAAAATCAGAAAATAAAAAGGTTTGGGGAAAAAGAGTGATTCAGGCTGAGCATGCAGCAGTTCCACAGGAGAAGTGTGTGTCACTCTGCTAAAGCAAGGAAGCTACCTTGCACATTACCTCTGTGTATTACAGGTCTAATTACATCACAGCTGCCTTGTGGCGCTGAGTAGTGTGCTTGTAAGAAGTTCCTCAGTGTATCTCTCCAATTGATAACTAAACAGGCAACTGAGTAGTGCAACAGCTGCTTTAGGAAGTCTTCCTATAGTGCTTTGGCTTGCTCATCTCTTGAGAAGCAAAGAGATGTTTCTAGGTTTATCTCACTCTCCCTGTTTCTGTATCATCAGGTGATCATTCTCATAGGAAACAAAGCAGATTTAGAGGCCCAGAGGGACGTCACATATGAGGAAGCGAAGCAGTTTGCTGAGGAGAATGGTGAGCCAGACACATACAGCGCATGTTGGGAAGACAGGAAAGAGGGTTTTAGGTGGAGGAAATTGTAAAGGTGACTTGGGGGAAGGATTAAGTGAGCACAGAGATTAATTAAAAGGGGCGAATGAGGACTTAGAATGTGAGGTATGTGAGCTTGGAACAATGTTTTTCAGACTGTCATCGTGTCTGTTTTATGTTCAACAGGTCTGTTGTTTCTGGAAGCCAGTGCAAAAACGTAAGTCTGCACAGGTACAGCATGTCAGTGACTGTAGAATTATGCTTTTGCTGACATTCTTTACCTCCCATTTGGCTTCTTATGTTTTTGTTTATGCTCCATGTTCAGAGGTGAAAATGTTGAGGATGCCTTCTTGGAAGCTGCTAAGAAGATCTACCAGAACATCCAAGATGGTAGCCTGGACCTGAATGCTGCCGAGTCAGGGGTCCAGCACAAGCCCTCAGCTCCTCAAGGCGGCCGGCTAACCAATGAACCACAGCCCCAGAGAGAAGGCTGCGGGTGCTAATGACCAAGCAAACCCCCTTCATCCTCTCTTCCTCTCTCTTTCTCCCCCTCCCATCTGTCCTGCCCACCCTCCCCCAACCATCCTCCCCTCCATCCATTCCTCTACCTCTGTGTGTTCATCTACCCTCACTGCCCCAGGAGCTGCATGAGAGCAGGACTGCGGAGGGAAGGAACGGGGGACATATCAACTTAAGCCAGACTGAGCTGGGCTATGTGGACTACATTTCTCCCCTCCTCTTCTTCCTTTGTCGCTGTGTTTTGTTGTCGTCCCATAACTCTCCTCTTTGGCTCCCCTCTACTTGTCTTGCACTGTTCAGTCTAGTTCCCCTTGTCGTAGTAACAGATATCGCCACACATTACACGGGTTACTGGGTTACTGACACTTTACATAGATGTAATGTTCATACGATTATGATAAATTGACTTTTTTATGTTTGATTTTTATAGCTACATGCAAACACTGCATTGTTTCATCCACCACTGATCAGTTTTGTATGAATGAGAATCTTATTTATGTCATTATTAGAATCTAAAATATATTCCCATAGTCCTGCATGGTTGACCAGTCCAGCATTTTATCGAGATGTGGGTGGATATCTCACTCGTGGTTGATTTGGGCAGTGAAGGCAATGAAATAATGTATCATGCAGCCACACAGACAGAGGCTGAGCGTTTTCAGCGGGACTCGGCCCTGCTTATGGCTTTTTAATTCTGTTTCTGCTGCTTGGCACAAAGCAAACTCCTTTGCCACATGTGGCAACTGATGTTCTCAGGAGAGGAAGGAAAACTCTTTTCGGGGATATAACAGGAAGGAATATTAGGTATTTTCTAGCTTGTCTGTGTGTTAAGAAATTGGACAGGATTTTTTTTTTTTTGACACTTTAACCCTCCTACCCCACCCCCCAAAAAGATTCACATTGTTTTTTTTGCACCTAGTCGTCTCCTCCTCACCGATCTGACCCCAGAACTCTCTCCCCTGGCTCATATAAACAGATTCTTTAGCATTTATGTCATTGTTTCTTGCCTTATTGTAATTGTTTTCTCTTTAATCTTTGTGTTGTTGCACTTACTCTTCACACTACTGTTGGACTTTTCAGATGTACAAACGGTCAGCACTCCTTTTATCTCATGTGAAGCTGCAGTGAAAAGCTCTGTTCATTTGGGCAGTTGTTCCTCTGTCTTGTATGACAACACCAAGCAGCATGGCTCTCACTTCCAAAACATAACATTGTCAAATCCAATTGTTTTTTATTTTAAGTATAATTTTTCTGTACCATAGCGATACCCTGACTGGACAGCTGTATATATTGCTTCTTAGCTGTTGGTGATGATCTTACTACTTGGGTTTTAGACACTTATTTGCTGGCTCTGCCAAGACCTGTACAGTTGATGTGCTAGTGGGTTGCCTGTAATTCATGCTTGGGGAAATTCTGTAACATAGTTTCTATTAATAAATGTATGTAAAGGACAGACACAAACACCGTCCCCACCCCCAACCACCCCATCTGGACACTACTGAACTTGCCACTTGGTTGAGGGACGAGGAAGTGGATTGAGATGATGTGCAAACAAATATTTGTCAACTTTAATTGCTTTCATTTCTGTGTGGAGCAGAAAATGGGGCACTTTTGTTTATATATATTTTTTTTCATCCTATCATAGCTTCTCCACATGGGGGGGGGGCTGCATCGCTGTCTTAACTTTTTGGGAGTGGGGATTGGTTTGCTATTGTGGGAAGTTGGTGGGCTGGGTTTTTTCCTGTCCCACCTCTTCGCAGTCGTAATTGACCACTTCCTGCTTTTGTCTGTCTACAAGTACAATAAAAAGTACATATGTATAAATTTTTAAGGAGCTGTGCTAACATTTAAATGCGTTCTTGCGTGTATATGATTTTAAAATGTTGACATTTTGATTTTAATGACAAAATACTCTAGACAAAAATAAATTATACATAACCTGTTGCTGTTTGTCTTGTTTAATGTCAAAGCAACAGGCTTTGATAAACATCTGAGATTCAAATGGAGAAAGTGGTTTAGGTTTAGTATTAATTACGGCAACTGTCTAGACCAAATAGAGCAGATTACAGGTGGCAAGAACACTAGAGACCCTGTATTTCAAGTAGCACGACTGTTTGTCTTTTATTGCAACAAAAATTGCACTGAGAGGGAAGAACAAATAGGAAAAAGAAAAGATATTTACAAAGGAAAGCAGGGTTTGTTTCCAAATTTGGTGAAAAGGCTTAGACACAAAAGTAGAATAGTGGTATGGCTGGTAAGGAAAGGAATATAAAAAAAAAAGCCAAAACTGACAGTACCATATTGAAGTCAAAGCAGCTTATAGTTGACTTGTATCCCCAGGCATCGCAGTCAGACAGGGCACATAGGGTGAGAAAACTACAGCACAAATACTGAAAATGTCAGATACAGAAAAGACTAAAGAAATGTACAATTTTACAGTGGAATTTCATGGGTTCTTGAGACTCCAATGGTCCGGTTCTTGCTTAAACCTTTTGTAAGACAGCAAGTGACAGATCAATAAACATTTCAGTCCAGTGTTTCCCCCAGAAAATATTTTTTACTGGGGTAGAAAGGCCCCTGAAACAGCATTTAGACCATCTAACAAACTCTCCATCAAAGGTAATTCTCTCAGGCAAAGAGGCCCCGTCAGTGGTCCAAGAAACAGTTTCAGTCCATTATCCCTCTTTACAGCTCAAACAGCATGCTGCTACTGATGGCTTTGGTGACTGGCATGTAGAGCAGAGTTAATTCAAACTTATATTTAAAAATATCTGGTCTAAGGACAACAACAATAGGCAGATACAAACTGGAGTCAAAGGTGTTTTTTTTTTTTGGTATGGCAAACAATGACAAATCACAACAGTTATTCACTGCCACTTGGCAAAATTCAGCCAAAGCTGTATCTCTTGTAGAGTGGCAAGTTTTAAACAGCTCTGCCAATAGATTTTAAGGCACTATTTGTTACCAAAGTGTGCAGTGAAGTAAAAAGGTGAAGGCTGGAGGCTCACCCTGCCTCATTTGCTTGTTCCCATTATTTTGACACATGGTTGCAAATACTGCAAAAAAAAAAAAAAAAAAGCATTCATACAAAACACTGAACATTTTCATCAGTCAGCACACAGCCATTAATTGATGATGAGGTACAAAGCAGTGAAAAAGGGCAGAGGCATCAGGTTGGAAACGATTCTAGAACCTCCCTAATTCTTACCGGTGACAATTGAAACTATGTCATTTAAGTGTTAGAAGGCATCCTACAAGAATATGAGGTTAAGTGTTTTGTTCTTGCTCATTGTCATCAAGTGGAAAATGAAACACACAAACAGTGCCTTTTTTTCTACTAGTCTCATCAATGAAGGGGGAAAAAAGCAACCAAAACACATAAGACATGATCATTTCAAAAATGATTGGTGAAAAGTCATGTTGAGAAATACGTGGCCCCTAGCCTCTTGTTAAGGCCTAGAGAGACTTCAATCATAGTTGAGGCTTTTTAATATTGAAAACTCTGACACCATCTAGATAGATTCCTTAAATTCCAATAACCACAGGCTTAAGTGTTTCCGAGTGTGTTGTAGTGTGAACCTACACTGCTGCTGCGCTCTAGCAGTCTTTACCGTCAGCTCTCCATCATAAGCTTAGTATAGACCACGGTTCATGCACATTCGCCAAAAAAAAAAAAAAAGGGTAGTGTAAGGTACAGTATTTGTTTTGTGTATTGGCATTGTAATATTTTGTAGTGCGCTACCTCTGAACAATGTCACTGATCTCTTTGACAGAAGAAAGCAACTTGCTGAAGTCCTGCTGTGCACTAGCACCCCCTGTGGCGGTAGGACAGATCTGCAGCTCACGCAGGCTGTTCTCAAGCTTGTTGATGGCCTCACGGAAGGCAAACTTGTTCCGCATCTGCTGAATGGAGTCGACATAGCTCATGCAATACTTTGACAGGTTCTTGCCAGCTTCCAGCACAGCACTGTGACTACCCGTCTGCTCAGAGTTGCGGCAAATGGCTGCGCGGAGTAGCTCAGTGCCCTCCAGCACCATCTCGCGCGTCACAGCTGAGTTGGGGGTGCGCTCGGTGGCCTGGCGGGGTGCAGTCTTGCGGAGGGAGCGTCGGGTGTTCACTAGGGGTATGAAAGCAGTGGGCGAGCTCTGATCACCTGAGGAGGTTAGGGAGGAAGAGAAGGCTCCTAGGCTTGGGCTTGAGAGGGAGGTGGTCACTGAAGAAGAGGAGGTGGAAGTCTTCAGTGGTTGAGGTTTGGAGGAGGATCCCAGGGGCAGCTTTTTGGAGCCTTCACTGATGGGTGAGCGGGCCTGGTCACTGGCAGTGGCTGTGTGGTGGGGCTCTGAGACAGAGGGAAGGCCCTTAGCTTTGATGTCTGTGGTGGTGGGTGAGGGGAGCTCTTGAGTGCGGGAGGTCTTGCCTGTTTTGGCATTGGTGGGTGGTGGAGGTGGAGCTGGCTTTCCACAGGGTGTTTGTGCCTGCGGGCCCTGCACTCATCTCCAGCTGCTCCCAAAGCTGGGAACACATTGGGCTTAAGAAGCTCAGCATGGAGAGCGCTTGTTTTAGAGTTCTCCAGCCCCGACACACCTGGCCTCCTGACAACCTTAGGTGTTAATACCTGAGGACTGGAACCAGGACTGGCATCAGTGTCTTTGCCTAAGAAGGTAGGCGAAACATCTGATGAGGTGTTCAGATGTGGTGGGGGAGTCAAGGTGCCCATTCGAGGGGCATTCTCCCCTTTCTGTTCACTGGTTCTCTTGCGTGGCAGAGCTGGTTTGCCCCCAAAGGTGCCTGAGTCAAAATGGCGCTGACCCAAGTCTCGCGGCAGTGTGACCGACTTCCATTCAGTGCCACCTGAGCTGGTGGGCATGCTAGAAGACCAGAGAAAACGCTTCGAGTTAGACATGGATTCCTCCTCACTAGGTGGTGTGGTGGCTGCCTTGGATCCTGGGCCAGGCACTATCCCCTTTTTCCTGGGGAATAAAGGTCCAGGGTACGTAGGAGCCCCGTTGGTGATGCCCCCTGTCCCATTATTGTTAGTAACCAGAAACTTTGAGGAGTCAAGGGCATGTGTGGCATCATTAATGGCCAAAGATGCACCATTGTTGAAGGTGTCACTGTCTCGAGGATCTGTAGTATTAACCCTTCTGTCAGGGTGGATGTCCATCTCTCTGAAAGAGGAGCTGCGTTTGGGTGGAGCTGGTGCATTCTTTTTCTTTTTCTTGATAAGGCTGAGAAAACCACTGGCACGTGTCTTGTCCTTGTCTTTGGGTAGCAAGCGGTCGTCCTCATTCAGGTTGCTGTCCAGGAAGGGCCGTTCTTTTCTGGGGAGCATGGGTGATGATACAGCTGCCTCTGGCTCCGCGGGGTCTGACGAAGAGCACAAAATAACCAGGGAGAACCATCAGGGATAAAATAAAAATAAAATACTTGCTTTGAGAGACTGGGAAAAACCCAATGTAAACTACTGTTCAAGAAAGCTGAGTGAACGTCTCACGTTCTGTCTGAATTAACTGAAAAACCCTTTATTTTCCCTAACCATCTTTATCTTTTGTAGTACAAAGTTTTAAAGAAAGAAAACTCAAAATACGTAAATGTGATTTAAGTAACAATTACCCCTATGAATACACTGCTCATTTCACATAATCCTTAAATTGCAACAACTGTGGTGGACAAACGTAGCAGCAAAGGTAGGAGGTGCAGTGGGTGTGAGTGCATTTCACCTAGACTATCTCCATCGCGGTTGTCCATATTTTTGCGGAGGGTTCTGGTCTTGGTGGGCAGCTCTGGAGCCTGCTGGATGGAGCCTAGGGTTGCCTTTTTCCCTTTCTTGCCCAGTTCCTTTTCCACCTCTTAAAAAAAAAATAAATAAAAACACAGTCAAAAGCAAACAAAAACTATGACATTTCCACATATTAACAGCTATGACAGGAAAACCGGCATTCATTAAAGGAGGGTATCTGGGGCTATTCACAGAAAAGAAAGCAGTGCTCACCGTCAGAGATGCTAGACTCCTGAAACATGGTCTCAAAGGCTTGGTGTGTTTCAGCAAAGGAGGGACGTTCTGAAGGGTTCCACCTCCAACCTGACAGCAAGAAAAAAAAAATTAATAAAACCCTTCTAGTAGAAAAAAATGCTTTGATCATATTCTGACAGATGCTTTCTGCTACTCACAGGCCCTCATGAGCTCATAGACCTTCTCAGGGCAGCCCTCTGGTCGGTCCATACGGTAGTCTTTCTCCAGCAGCTCGTAGACCTGAGACAGGTCAATGCCTGGATATGGAGACATGCCGTAGGTAGCGATTTCCCACAGCAGCACACCAAATGCTACAGATGAAGACACAGGACAATTAGCTGTGATTCATACAAGAAACATACCAAGAACTCAAAGTCATGGTGGGAATATGTACATTGACTAGAAAGTGGAAACATCCTCAATCAAGTTTAGCATTGCCTAAATGAGATCAAACTTACCCCAGACATCAGACTTAATAGAGAACTTGTTGTAAGCCAGACTCTCTGGGGCTGTCCATTTGATTGGGAACTTGGCCCCAGCATGAGCTGTGTAGGTGTCTCCTGTCATTAACCTGCTCAGACCAAAGTCGGCCACCTTCACCAGCTGGTTCTCCCCGACCAGACAATTGCGAGCAGCCAAGTCCCTGCAGTTGAGAACACAGAGAGGAAATCAACTGTGTGAACAGGAGGCAATAGTACGGTTCTGACTTTCTACAGTCAAAAAGAGTCTGTAAAATAGTTCCAACATCCACTGCAGTGTTGGATTTCTACACATTTTTGGAGCGAAGTGGCAGACTGAGTCTTGTCAGGTTAAAAAAAAAAAATTAAAATGCAGTTTAGCAGATACAAAAGACAAATCATCTCACTGCTTCAAAGGACCTTGGTTAACATTCCAGAACAAACTAGCGATGTTACAACATCAGCTTCTCTGTTATACAAGATGTGAGAGAGTGAGAGGAGAGCTACTCAGGAGCACTGAGAAGAGATTGTAAGATTTAAGGTCAATGAATTTAGTTTCTCTGGTATTGATGCAGCTCAACAGTAAAGTGCTGGTCTCAAGTTACTGACAACACTAAAATCAATTCTATGTGAGGACACAGAATCAGAAGGAAATTCTAAAGTTTTTTTTTTTACACCGACCTGTGTATAAAGTTTTTTTTCTCCAAGTACTCCATGGCAGAGGAGATCTGTGTGGCCATGTGAAGCAGCACCACAGCATTAACCTCCTCTCTGTTGCACTCCCTCAGGTAGTCCAGTAGGTTACCGTGGGTCATGAACTCTGTGATAATGTAGAAAGGCGGCTCCCGTGTGCACACACCTGTCAACAAAAAGCAGTTTACACAATAAATTTTAAGACTGCCATTAATAGATAAGACAAAGCTATTAATAACTAAGAGCAATAGTTTTTCTTTTTAAACTTTTCTCATGTTCAAGACAGATTTCAGTGCAAGTGTAAAGGAAGGCCTGTAAAGGTTTACCTACCCAACAGTTGTACCAGGTTGGGGTGTTTGATCTCTTTCATAACAGCAGCCTCTTTGAGAAACTCCTCCACTTCCATTGTATCCTCCTGAACAGAGTTATTGTCAAAAAACTGAGCAAACCCACAGGCTGTTTGCAGTTACCTCTGTAAAGCACCAGATGGCAGCATTCTTCAGCAAAATTAAAGATTTACAGTAAACATGGTGTTAATGTGTGATAACAACAGGTGCCAAAATGTTTGATTTTGAAATCAAACCATTCCTCATAAAGTCAAATACATGAATTTAATAGCAATATGCACAAACAAACTGCTCTTTCCTGACCTGTCTTCTTACCTTTAGTGTCTTGACAGCCACAGTGAGGTTGTACTTCTTCCAAACACCCTCGTACACCTCCCCATACTGGCCACCTCCCAGCTTGTGCTTCATGGTAATGTCAGTACGCTCCATCTCCCACTTATCGTAGTTGGGAGAAACTCCGTAGATGGTGGGCTTGTTGCGCTTGGGTGCAGGGTAGTGCAGCGTGGTAATAAGGCCGTCGGGCACCGTGGAATGGTGGTGTACCAGCTCTGCCAGTGTGTTGAAGCGACTTTCTGACGAGACATACAGCTGGAGGAAAAAGCATATTCTACATTTTAGTTTTTAATGGTCAGTTGGGTATTTACTAATTTAAGAGGAATAAATGTTTTACTAACAAAGAAAAGTTGCGTTATTCAGAGCAGTGGTAATCACCGAGTCAATGTGAAACAAAGCTGCAGCTCAGCGGAGTGCTGAGGTAATCTCAAACTATTGGTCTTTTGGTCTATCATACCAGACTCTTGAGCTGTAGCTCAGTGGGAAGATGGAAAACAAATGTGTGCGTGTCCATTTGTTACATGTGTATGTGTGCATACTTGGGTGCAACTGTCTGTGCTAATGTATGTCTTTGCCTGGGCGTCAGTGTCTGGCCAGCCTCATGTCTGCTGGCCATTATGAGGAGCACACTGGTGGTTAGAGGCATTCTTGTCATAGCTAGCGTTCCTTGAGCTAGCTCACCTCGCTGCATCACAGAGAGAAGGGTGACACAGCCAAAATGGCAGCAGCTTCTCGACTGGCATATCAATGTGGGAGAGTGCCGCACCAAGAAATTCAGCCACCCATAGAATGAAATATGACTTATACTTGTCTGTGACAACCATCAGGATGTCAAGTTTATTTATATAGCACATTAAATTCAACAAAACGTTGGCCAAAGTGCTTTACAGAGAACAAACATATAAAACACACATCATAAAACCATAAGCAGAACCGTGACCTCCAAACCAGAAAACAAAATTACAAGCAATTTAAACCAGACTGTGAACTCAGCATTGGTTAAAGACAAGGGAGTAAAAATCTAAGTTGTCAGTGTAATGTCATCCGGATATGCAAAGGAAAAATATATAATGTAGGGGCCATGAAAGAAGAGGCATGCTCATCTCTTAATTTGACCCTCAGGACTCCTGGAAGCATCTGGTCCTTAGACTTAAGCATTCCAGTGGGAACATAAAGATGTAAAAGTTCCATGATGTAGGAACGGGCAGAACCATTTAAAGCTCCATAGGTCAGGAGATGTATTTTACGGTGAATCCTAAACTGCACAAGGAGCCAGTGGAGCAAAGCGAGGGTTGGTGTAATGTGCTCACGTGTGTGCGTGTTCCTGTCAGCAAATGATAATAATCAGTACTCTGATGATAAAATGACCTATCAAAGTCTTGGAAGTATTGAATTCAGTTCCCTCAAAAACAAAAACAAAAAAAAATTGGTTAATCCTTCTAACAGTTTTCTGCAGCTCATCTGTCCAGGAGTCCAGGATGTACTGACAAAAATGTGATAGAAATGTCAAAAGTATTCATGTACTTAAATAATTATATCCCTGCTGATTTATCATCATTCCTTGAATGCTAGGACCATGAAAATGGTATAAAGTTCTATTCCAGGTGGAACTTGTGGTATCTTTACTACAGAACAACCTGGTAAAAGCAGGATAAATATAAAGGCATTTATGACTGTGCTGTGTTGACAAAAAGCACATCATTACTATTTGATGGGTAGAAACCAATAGTGTGGTGTGTGTGTGTATACAGCATGTGTCTGTATTTCCACTGACACCTACCTTGCCATCAGACGCAGTGTTAATCCTGTAGTGGTAGACTCTCCCCTCGTACCGCAGAGAAATGGACCTCTGACCGGGGCTGCTCTCACTCTCGCGGACCAGAAAGCTCCCGTTGATGCCTGAGCTGAGCAGGTACTCCGCAGCGTTGCGTGACACGGGTCCATGATACCAGCTGTGCTTCTCTGGGCTGTTGACTGGGGTGATGTAATTGGATGGCACCCACCCCTGGCCATTTTTGGTCTGCGCCTCACACCACTCGCCATTGTGGTTGTAACCCAGCACACGCAGCTTCTCTCCTAGTCAACATGTGGGAGTATAACAAGAAAGATTATCCAGACTAATTGTGGCTGAAGTACCTTGTTGGCTACACACACACACATACTTTAATATTATTTTTGATGGGTACAGCTCATTCCTGTGATCTTGAAAAGAGTATTTCCGCAGCTTGGACTGTGAATCTTCCATATGTTTTGCAGTGAGGAACAGGCTACTATAAGATGGACACAGCACAAGAGATGAACTCTGCATGCAGCAATCCACTATATGTAATCATGTTTCCTTAGATCAAAGTGGCCAAACTTTGTTTGCCAAATTCAATTAACTGTGTCATCAGAGCTGTTTCACCGAGTTATGTTTTTCTGTGCAAAAATCCATATTAGAATGAAGTGGAAACTTTTGTATGGGACATGTTCTTGTTTATTCCTGTACATATGCTCTCTCCTTCCTTCCTGTGTTTTGTCTGTATGATCCATCTGTTGTATTGTTTTACAGTGTGTTCAGCAGAAAAAAATCCCATGTGTGAGACTGACGTCAGGAAACGAGAGTCAGATGGGGATGAAGACGGAGAGAAAAGGAGATGGGACGGGAAGTGAATAAGCAGATTACCAGTGAGACTGATAACCTTAGAGATATGGGTCAGTACTGAAAATAATAATCAGAATCACTGACATACTGACACAATCGTAATGGTAAGTCATATTCAAAACCTTCAGAAGTGTAAGGCAAAAAATTACCTGGATTTTTTCCACCCTCACCTTTGGTAATGCTGAGCGTGTTGTCACCACTGGCCACGAAATCATAGAGTGCAACAAACAGGTTGGGGTCATTCTCACTCGGTCCAGCCAACAAGTTCTCTTTGGAATTCCAGCGGGCCGCTTCTGTCAGACCCTGGCCCTCTAAGTCTGGTCTCTGGAGGGCTTCTGAGAAACATGAGTCAGAATATCATTGTGTTGGTAACTACAATATGAGGCAAAACATGAAACAGTACAAGCCTAAATGGAGACTGAGGGAGATCTGTAGGTGTTTGGTATGCCGCAACATTGTGAAGCAGTTTTCCCATATAGCTTCAACATTGTAGGATTCTGCAATAGTGTCGACTTGAGCCTCTCCACGTGTCACTTCAGTTCTTCTACATCCCCTTCAACTGTGCTTTGCTCCAAAAAAGCAGGTCATCAGCTATGATTCCACCGTGGGAAGAGAATAACTTGATCATATGACCTGTTGTGTCAGTGCTGTCCATGCAACTTTTCATTTCCTAGAAAATTCCTGCTTAGGTTCCATTTTCTTGAATACCTGTAAGAATGTGCCTCAGCATGAACCTTGACTTACATGTAAAATGTGTATGCATCCCTCACAGGTAATGAGTTCAAAGTGCTTTAACTTATAGTTATGTTAATTATGGACACCGCTTGAATTACAGCAATTTTGGGGCACAAACTGATGCTTATATGACAAATGGAAAGAATGAGGAAAAAGGAGGATGGCAACGTTTTTGAGAATGTGAGAGAAAAGAAGAGTGGCTTGCACAGTTGTCACATGACGAAGGCATCTTTTGCCATCATTTCACCACCACCGGGAACCATACCGGTTCATGCAAACCACTGGGTTTGCATGTTTCCATTGTCTCAGAAACGGACCGTGCCCGGGATGAAATCAAGCTGAAAAGCGTGATATCTGACTCTGCTCAGAAGCAGGTCCCAGAGTGCGACACTCCGCCCCTGAACCTGGCTGCCTACGTCACAACATTCTGATTGGCAGAGAAAAAAAAACAAAAAAACTTGATCATCAGGAAGTGCCTCAGCCTAAGAAAGAGACCCACCCTCTTTAAAAAAAGAAATGAGAGAGAGAGAAAGAAGGACATGGCAGTGCACTATGAAGAAATAAAAAGAAGTCAATACAACAGCTGTTTTTCAGATGTTTGCTCTGTTGTGTGCCTACTGTTGATGTCCATTCTGGTCACGCAAAAGAAGTCACCATGACGTACTTTGCAAGAGCAACACAAATATGTATCAGGGCCAGGCATCCCAGGCCAATAGCTGGCCTGCTGGTCTGAGTACGATTCCTGGTGGCAGTGGAATGACTGCATTACAGTTCATCTTCCCAGCGTTGTCTGAGACAACGACTGGCTGTTTTCACCTTCCAGTGCAAGCTTCAGTAACGAGGTGTGGGAAGGAATATTTCAAATGAATTTGTAATAGAGATCATTTGCACTTTAAATAACTAAAATGTGATGACACACACTGAAACTGGACTTCCAGAACTCTCCACAATTACAGTATTCTTGAAAATGTAGTTTACTAACGTGTGGCAAACTTGAATATTAATAGCCAGGCATAGAAATACATATCTGAACATTGAACAGCTGTCAAATACAGTTTCAAATGAGTGCATCTTATCATGCTATTGGTAGAGCAGGCAGGAAAAGTATGGACAGCTTTAGACATTTCCCACTCGCCCACACACACAAGATGGAAAACAGTTATCCATTAATCATCTCTGTCAATTGAAGACCATGTATCTCTAAGTCGTGACATTTTTATGTACTTTTCCACCTCTAAGGCTCATAAAACCCTTTGAAAACCTACTGAATTCACCCGACTATGCCTAAAACGTGTCATTATCAAGGCTGCTTTTCTGAAAAGTTGAAGCTTTTCATCATATATTTTGGAGCTGCATAATGTAGCAGATTACGACTTGCTCACAGCATGCACTGTGCATGTGGATGTTAGTGGAGGAAAACATCCACACAGTAGTGTGCCTCTGAAAGAAAAAAAAACAGGAGCGAGATAACCTGATGCATCTTTTGTTGATATTAGTCTGGTCCAAAAGAGACCAAAGTCTAAAGGCACTCAGTCATTCAGAACCATTGTACTGGGTCACAGCAACTGTGTTATATTAACAATGTAAAGATCATTACCTTGACTTGGGGAAAAGGACACCGTGTACTGAGTGATAAAGCGGTGCTGGATTTGGTGGGTGGACTGAGGGGTATTTTGTGGCAAAGCATGGGCTGAACAAAAGAGTCACATGCACTCTCTCTGGATGAATTGCGAGCATGTACAGATATATTTAATATAGAATCCAAGTTTTAAATGACTGTTGGACAATAGATTACTTGCAAGTTCCATAAAACAAGACGTACACAGAGTTTGTAACATGCAGTACTACAGCTAGTCTAACCTTAAAGAAGTAAACATAGGACACAGTATGTGGCTCATAGCCAGTCAAATGGCACTGTAGCAGGCATCATTGTTTTGGAGGACTCGTGAATGACCTACACACATCTCCTTCTGCCAGTCTAGGCTTGAATATGGTTCTTTGTCAGTAACCTACCATTTTGCCTGTGATTTTGTCTGGAGAGTCCTGGCAGGCTCAGGCTCTCATATTTTAGGTGGGTTCCAATCCTAAAAAGAGACACACCTGTTGCATTTTGGTGTATCAATCACAGGTGCTTCCTTTAGCTGGTGAAGATATGGCATCTATGTCAATCTATCCAGCCATTATCTATACCGCTTACTCCTGAATAGGGTCGCAGGGGGGCTGAAGCCAATCCTAGTTGAGAATGGGTGAGAGGCAGGGTACACCCTGGACAGGTCGCCCGTCTATCACAGCGGTATCTATGGGCATCACATAAAAATAAAGAAACACCTTATTCCCAACTCGCTATTAAGAAACCAAGAAAGCAGTTTGGCCTGGTGTGGGCAGTGCGTTTAAGCAGCTCATGTCATACATGTTTGGTTTATGGGTCACACATGCCAGAGCTCTTTGTGAGAGGGTGACAACACACTGACACATAGGCCAAGAACACACACACACACACACACACACACACACACACACACACACACACACACACACACACACACACAAATGTGCTCGCAAAAAGGAGTAGTAGTCATATGAAAAAGAGAAACTGAGAATGTAAGGGAGAAAGAATCCGAGGGAATGAGAAAGGCCCTTTATCGGACTGCAGTGCTCCAGAACCATGCAGTGGGAGAAATTACAGCATGTCCTGGCTGTATGACTGAGATGACACTCAAAATGATTAAATGTGTGGAACCTGTAAAGAATTCACGGCAGTGGCTGCATCCAAACTCACATGCTGATGCAAGACAGAAATTTCCACAAAAACCAGACTACATAAAAAGAACAAAACGTCATGTCTGCTTTCACTTGGTCCTGGTGATCATGACTGGTAGTTTTGATGATCTTCAGTGAGATTATTTACAATGAAAGAAAGCAAATGCAACTAACCACCAAGCCCAACAGAAACCAGCAGCAGACTGGGATGTAAACCATGAATCTGCAATATACAACAGCATGGTGCACTTCCATGAAGTGTGCTTTAGAACCAGAGCACATACTTCTGAGGGCTGAGGGGGAACATCTCTAAGCTTACATATCTTCCTTACATCACCTCTCATTACCTGAGTGGGATGTGGTGAGTAAGAGGCAAGCGTATTCAGATCATCTGATAAGACATCTAAGGCTGCTAAACACTGAAGAACTCCTCTAAAGTGGGTATAATACTGAAAGAGTCTGAGCATAAAAATGGTTTATTCTAATTAAGACAAATAGGGCCTCCAGCTCTATTGAAGTATAAAGTTTAATATGGAGTGGAATATCATCTTAGCATGATATTTGCTGTGCTTTGTACCATATGATTTGAAAATTAGAGACCATCATTGCCATCCACTTCAGGGGAAGTGTGCCAAGATTATTAACCCTATTAAATCATTTGGTTGCGCAATCATTGGCACACATACGACTCCACCGAGTTCCTCTGCCAAGTAATTACTATGTTCATTATGTACAGACTCAGTGTGTCCTGGATGCCTGCAAACTCCCCCTGTGTTTTATGCATCATGGGCACATTAACTGACCACTTTATCTGTGGCCAGGACAGCCTAATTTGAAGTAACTGAAAAAAGTCCTAATATTACCAAGAAAAGAAAAAAAAAATCTTCCAATTCATTATGGAAGCAATACACAAAATCCAAGTAATAGACCATGGCAGAGAGCTGAAAAGGGGGAGCACAGAGCACGATTAGATCCCCTCTCCTCATGAAGAGCCACTAAGTGGGACACAGCCAGGAGTCAGATTTCCTTGTATTCTCTTCTCCGTCTTTTTTTCCACTTCTTCCCTAAGCAGCTAGCCAGTGTGTCTGGCCTTCCCTGTGCTTACTTTTAACTTTCCCCTCCCCATTCTTCGGTTTCCTACATACAGAAGTCATTGTTAAGACTATACTTGCATCCTTTTCCCTGTGTCTCCTAAGCCCCTGCTTCTTTCCTTTTTACCATTTCTGTTTTGATTTTTATTTACATTTCTCAAATGTAAACTTTAAAAATCACAGCCCAAGCTCAGAAATGACACAGTAGCCATCACAACATACTCTTACCTTCCAAATAACAGCTGGAGGAGGATGAGAGTCCTTTTTTAGATTTACACCCCACCAATTTCAGGCATATCTCCAACATTTTCATTTGTTTCCTTCCCTTCCTACTTGAAAAATGTTTTGTTTGCTCAAATCAGATGTCCCTCAATTGTTTCCCTTCTACATGTGTCTAACAGGGGAAAAAAACGTAAGCACAAGAAGAAAAAAAAAATCTGAGAAAAGGAGAAACAAGCCAAAAACAGTTGTTGAAAATACACTAGCTTTCTTTTCCAGGATCTTCAAGCTGCTGTAAATCCTCTTCTTCTTTCTTGCTCCGCTCTGAAACAGAAAGAGCCCGCCGTCCGGCAAAGTCTACCAACTTCTGAGAGTCTCCATGTTTTTTTTTTTCTCCACTTTGGACTCTTATGCTTTTGGTTAGCTCCACTTTTGTATCCAAAAGCACAGGTTTGGTCCAAAGGCTTGCTAGATTTGTAGATGTGTCAGTTGAGTGGGCAGTAAGGCGGTCTAAACGGTGCCATTCCTCT